GTGTATGTAAGCGCGTGTTGCATAAGATGGGGAATAAAAGCACTCGTAAATTTTAGCCCAGCACTGATCTATACGTGCCGCATACACACAGTCATGCAATTGCAACAGCAGCAGAAGCAGTTGCCATGAGCATAAAAAGCATCAGTCAGTCATTCAAGTTTTACTGGTATATGCATGTACGCCTCGTGCTTGTATGCCGAGCTTTGGCAAGACGAACCTATATATACATGAGTATAGAAGTGAGCACGAAGACACAGAGACACACTCGCACACAAAGTGTACGCCAACCTTTGAAATTTTCAAGTTGAAAGTCGAGTTCTTCTTTTCTTCGCTAAAGCTCGCGAAATAACAGAAAGAGAATCAGGTTGCCGGGATATAGGGGGCGCGCGACCGAGGCTCGTTTACGTATAGTATGCGGCAACAACCACCCGAGGCCGAATGGATATAAGATTGCCTCTCCGAAGCTGTCTGCAGCTCTCTCTCTCTATATGTTAGCTAGCTACTACTATCTACGGATAATTCGAGTTGTATGAATTATTTTATCCGAGCGGCCGCGCGTGGCAGGCGGGCATCGGATTTTTCTCTCTTTTTTTTTCTTCTTCTTCTTCTGCCCTCCCGATATTCGCGTACACGGACGAACGAGCATTTTCTCAAAAAAAGGAAAACAGCTCCGAGCTTTTGCATAATACACGTGTACGTATACGTATAATACCCGTTCGTTTTTATTTAGTTACAGAGCAGCTCGCGATGTCGGGCTTTTATATATTATACTGCTGTAGGATGCGCTCTCAAAAGCGGCGCGCTCATGCATCGTATATAGCTCTTTCGAGGATTGAAATTAAAAGTATTAATGGACGCTGCGTATATAAATTGTAAAAAGCTCTACACCGGGATAGAGTACACTCGCGCGCGCGGGCTCGCGACGGCACGAGCTCCGTAGCAGCAGCAGCAGCAGCAGCAGCAGCATCGGCTTGATTAACGCTCACTTGTCTCTCTCCCTTGTCCCCCTTTTCCCTTCGTCTTTCTCCAACTTCGAACAAGACGTATATTTATACCCCTTTCCTTGAGTTAACTGCAAGTACTGCAATAAATCCGTAACTCGCTGTTCGCCGACGTATAGTCTTATAGCGAGTTGAAAAACCGGAAAAAATACGGAGGAATTACAGTTTCATTTCCAAAAGCGTATATTATAATATACTAGCATCTTTCGGCACGCTGCGCGCGGTGCAGTGGTGGATTGTGGAGCACACCAATCACACCATGGCGCGAGGACGGCAAATTTTTGAATGAATATCAAAATTTTTTTAGTATAAATGAGTATGAGACTCTATTTACTCGATTTTTTTTGCGCGAACTCGATGCGGTCTGTCGGGAGTTTTTTTTAAAGCTAATTTTTAATTGACCAGAAAAATCCTCGAAAGAATCATCATCAAGTTAGAATTTTAAATTATTTCAAATATTGTTAGGATAATGTATAAACAGATAAGTCGGCACCTTAATTGTAAACAATAAGATAATTAAAGATTTTGATATTGTTCCTTGAAGCACTGATCATGTTTATAGTAGAAAGAAATTAGTTACAATATTGTCTTCTGCGATGAAACAAGGCCAATACCAAGAGATAAATTTTACTCATTCAATTTCCGTGGCCCAAAATTGAAACACTAGTCGTTTAATTCAGACCCTAAAATGGATAAAAGTGAAAAGAAATTGGAAGAAGTTGTTAAAGAAAATAATTTGAGTGAACACGACGTTGTTATTTCAGGCGACAAAAACTACGTTTGTGATATTTGCCAGGAGGCATTTACACTCGAATCAAGCATGATAACGCACCAAAATACAATTCACAATAAACAAAAAAATTACGCGTGCGACAAATGTGAAGAGAAATTCGAGTTCCGAAGTCATTTGAGTAGACACAAATTATCACTACACAAAGTGCGAGATAAGTGCGAGAAGAAATTTGTGAAAAAATCAAGTTTGTTTGTGCCCCAAAAATTAGTACACAAAAATCACGAAGAATTTACATGCAATAAGTGCGAGAAAAAATTTGAAAATAAATCAACTTTACTCAAACACAAAAAAATATTTCACCAATTGTTAAAAGATTACTTATGTGAAAAGTGTGCGAAGAGATTTGGAAATAAACAAAGTTTGTATTTGCACATAAAAACAGTCCACGACGGTCAGAACGGTTTCACTTTCAAAGTCTTCAAAGATTACTTGTGTGACAATTGCAAGAAGAAGTTTGGACAAAAATCGGATTTGTTGAAGCACCAAAGAATAGTACACGAAGGCCGTAAAGATTTCACATGCGACGAGTGCATGAAGAAATTTGGACATAAACAGCATTTGCTTTTGCACCAAAAGACAGTCCATGAAGGTCGAAAAGAGTTCGCTTGCGACAAATGCGACAAGAAATTTGGACGAATATCGAATTTGCTCGTTCACCAAAAAATAACTCATGAAGGTTGTAAAAATTTCGCATGTGCCAAATGCAAAAAAAAATTTGGACAAAAAGCGCATTTGTTGAAACACCAAAGAACAGTTCACGAAGGTCGGAAAGATTTCACATGCGACAGTTGTGATAAGAAATTCGGACGCATATCGAATTTGCATATGCACCAAAAGACAGTTCACGAAGGTCGGAAAGATTACGCTTGTGACAAGTGCGAAAAAAAATTTGGACAAAAAGCGCATTTGTTGAAACACCTAAGAACAGTTCACGAAGGTCGGAAAGATTTCACATGCGACAGTTGTGATAAGATATTCGGACGCATATCGAATTTGCATATGCACCAAAAGACAGTTCACGAAGGTCAGAAAGATTACGCTTGTGACAAGTGCGAAAAAAAATTTGGACATAAACATAAATTGATCGTCCACCAAAAAACAGTACACCAAAGTCGCAAAGATTTTGCTTGAGATAAATACGAGAAAAATAAAATGATGATTGACAATTGTAAATATGTATAGATACTCATAGTTTTTCTAAAATTTCAATATAAATTGTGCTGAAATTGATTGTGTATTACTTGAGCCACGGACGTTCAACCACCATTTCGGCTTTTGTTCACTGTCGCGGTTTAGGCTTTATATTTTAATCAGGTGACTGCCAATTACTACGCTTATTTTTTCGATAATGCAACCACGGAGACAAGAATTTTTTCACCTCGTTTGGAGCTGTGAACGAGGTGAGCATTTAGTTTGCTACTGGATTTTTGATAAACCTTAAGAAATACGTAACGCCGACGTATAGTCTTATAGCGAGTTGAAAAACCGGATAAAATACGGAGGAATTACTGTTTCATTTCCAAAAGCGTATATTATAATATACTAGCATCCTTCAGCACACTGCGCGGGGTGGAGTGGCGGATTATGGAGCACGCCAATCATACCATCGAGTGAGGACGGCAAATTTTTGAATGGATACCAAAAATTTTTTAGTAAAAATGGTTATGAGACTATTTACTCGATTTTTTTTGCTTGAACTCGAGGCGATCTGTCAGGATTTTTTTTTAACGCTTACTTTTAGTTGACCAGAAAAATCTTGGAAAGAACCGTCGTCAAGTTAGAATTTTAAATTATTTCAAATATTATTAGAATAATGTACAAACAGATAAGTCGGCACCTTAATTGTAAACAATAAGATAATTAACGATTCTGACGTTGTTCCTTGAAGCACTGATCATGTTTATAGTAGAAAGAAATTAGTCACAATATTGTCTTCTTCAATGAAACAAGGCAAATACCAAGAGATAAATTTTACTCATTCAATTTCCGTGGCACAAAATTGAAACAGTAGTCGTTTAATTCAGACCCTAAAATGGATAAAAGTGAAAAGAAATTGGAAGAAGTTGATAAGGAAAATAATTTGAGTGAACACGATGTTGTTATTTCAGGCGACAAAAACTACGTTTGCGATATTTGCCAGGAGGCATTTACACTCGAATCAAGCATGATAACACACCAAAATACAATTCACAATAAACAAAAGGATTACGCGTCCGACAAATGTGAAGAGAAATTCGAGTTTCGAAGTCATTTGAGTAGACACAAATTATCACTACACAAAGTGCGAGATAAGTGCGAGAAGAAATTTGTGAAAAAATCGAGTTTGTTTACGCACCAGAAATTAGCACACAAGGATCGAGAAAATTTCACATGTAACAAGTGCAACAGGAAATTTGAGAATAAATCAACTTTACTCAAACACAATAAGATATTCCACGAATTTATCAAAGATTACTTATGTGAAAAGTGTGCCAAGAGATTCGGAAATAAACAGAGCTTGCATTTGCACATAAAAACAGTCCACGAGGGTCAGAAAAATGTCACTTCCAAAGTCTTCAAAGATTACTTGTGTGACAATTGCAAGAAGAAGTTTGGACAAAAATCGGATTTGTTGAAGCACCAAAGAATAGTACACGAAGGCCGTAAAGATTTCACATGCGACGAGTGCATGAAGAAATTTGGACAAAAATCAAAATTATTTCGACACCAAAAGACAGTCCATGAAGGTCAGAAAGATTACACATGCGACCAGTGTGACAAGAAATTTGGGCTTAAACAGCAAATGCTTGTCCATCAAAGGACAGTACACGAAGGTCGGAAAGATTACGCTTGTGACAAGTGCGAAAAAAAATTTGGACATAAACAGAAATTGCTCGTCCATCAAAAGACAGTACACGATGGTCAGAGAGATTACGCATGTGACCAATGCGAAAAGAAATTTGGGATTCAAAGCAATTTGATAAAACACCTTAAAACAGTCCACGAAGGTCGCAAAGATTTCGCATGCGAAAAGTGTGAAAACAAATTTGGACAAAAAAAGACTTTGCTCATCCATTTAAAAACAGTTCACGAGGGTCGCAAAGATTACGCATGCGATAAGTGCGAAAAGAAATTTGCACGAAAAGCGAGTTTATTCTACCACCAAAAAACAGTACACCAAAGTCGCAAAGATTTTGCTTGAGATAAATACGAGAAAAAATAAAATGATGATTGACAATTGTAAATATGTATAGATACTCATAGTTTTTCTAAAATTTCAATATAAATTGTGCTGAAATGATTGTGTATTACTTGAGCCTCGGACGTTCAACCACCATTTCGGCTTTTGTTCACTGTCGCGGTTTAGGCTTTATATTTTAATCAGGTGACTGCCAATTACTACGCTTATTTTTTCGATAATGCAACCACGGAGACAAGAATTTTTTCACCTCGTTTGGAGCTGTGAACGAGGTGAGCATTTAGTTCGCTACTGGATTTTTGATAAACCTTACGAAATACGTAACCCCAAATTGATCAAATCTAAATTTTCTGACGGACTGATTATGTCTGTTACGATAGAATTGATCGGTAATATCAATATTTTATATCTAAAAAAACCAACGTGGAAATCATTTAGTAACTTAATTTTAACCAAAAATTTTTTTCTAAATTTTTCAAGAATTAGTAAAAGTTAATTTTAAACCATCATTTTTTCAGAGTATTTATAGAAAAGAGATGTGAAATTATCGATGTGACTGACACACTTATTTTCCTGTCAACTGACGATGACTAATGGAACTTCATTTCTAATTTATCGTATAATCAATTATATAATATTGGCATGTATTGCATCAAAAATATGTCTATGTATGTAAATCGTACGCCTGGATTAATGCAATTACCTTGGTAAAGAGATTTCATTTTCTCTGTGTAGTGTGTACGTATCGCGTAGATATTTCTGCTTAGAGCTAGTCGACTGTAGAGGGGGAAAGTATCGCCAAGAAGATATCACAATAGCCGCGTCTTCTCGCTAATATACAAGTACTACGTTCAGTCGCTAACTTGGAACGAAATTCCTCGGTAAGCTAGTGTTTACAAATAATATCCGTAATAGAGTATCGAATATCGAGCCCAGTGTTGACTACTCGAGGCATATAACCTCCAATATTTTTTGAGTATGTATCGTGAAAATTCACAGTGATTACGTATAATTAAGCGAAAGATGGAAAGCAGCGGAGATATAATTAGGTATAACTTGGTTTGTGCATGACATAGTAATTTTTGGAGCAATCGCTTCATCAAATTTGATCATTTTTAGGGTGAAGGAAGAACCGAAAGATGCTAACCCACATCATTCAGGCGTAGATTATATATTAGATTCGGTGGATTCTTGTGAAGTCAAAAACTTTGAAGCATTCCCGCTTTGTAAATCATCAGTAAGTTTAATGATTTGAATTATCTTCTAATTTTTCACCACCAAAAACTATTATACGATTTTAATTTCAGACCAATCATATGAATGAGGTTATAGAAGTACAGGAAAAATTAGATGTAAAAATACTCATTGAATTTGAGTGCAAAAATGTTAAACTTGAACTGAAGTCGTTATCACCAAACATCTGCAAAACTGAGTATCAAGATTATCCATTTAATGTGAAAGTAGAAAACCAAATTCAGACCAATTATATGAATCGATGTGAGGAGGTTGAAATATTTAGAAAAAATACTCGAAGCAAATTATCATACGAGAACAAAATACGTCCAAAAACGTATACAAAAAAAGCGAATTTAAATGCGCATATTAACTCGACTCATAAGGACATTGGATCATATAAATCTGATATTGGCCATAAGATACGTACATACAAACGTAGCCTCAAAGCTCAAAACACAATATGTGATCCTAGCCAAACCTTCGAGTGTGAAATTTGTCATAAATCATTTGGAAAAAATAGTAATCTCAAATCTCACATAACTACAATACATGTTCGTAGCAAACCCTTCGAATGTGAAATTTGTCACAAATCATTTGGACAAAAAAGTAATCTCAATAAACACATAGAAGCAATACATAATCACAGCAAATCCTTCGAATGTGAGATCTGTCACAAGTCATTTGGATGCCAAAGTTACCTTAAATCTCACGTGAATCTAGTACATGATCATATGAAACCCTTTGAGTGTGAGATTTGTCACAAATTATTTGGACGAAAATATAACCTCAAATATCACGTGAATAAAGTACATGATCGAAGCAAACCCTTCGAGTGTGAAATTTGCAAGAAATCGTTTGGAGAAAAAGGAAACCTCAAAAAACACCTAATTGCAGTACACGACCGACTTAAACTCTTTGAATGTGATATTTGTCATAAATCATTTGGATATAGCAATTACCTCACGAAACACATAAACGCCATACATAATCGGAGCAAACCCTTTGAATGTGAAAATTGTCAAAAATCATTTGGAAACAAGAGTGACCTCATAAGACACATAAGTGCAGTACACAATCGCAGCAAACCCTTCGAATGTGATATTTGTCACAAGTCATTTGGGCGAAAATGTATCCTTAAAAGCCATGTAAATACAGTACATGATCGCTAGAAGTGTAAGATTTTTTGGTAGATATTTGAAAGCAAAGAAGACATTTGCAATCACACGAGTACTCTACGAAGTTGTAGAAAATCATTCTTATAAATATCCCTCAATTATGTGAAAAACAATAAATTATTTGAAACTGTTATTAATTTTTTCGTCACTCAAAAATCCTTTACTCACCTTTTTTACAAAATTCAAATATATCGAAATTTAGCTGTTGAATACGCATTGCGTGATTGAAACTTTCTTTTAATAATAAACAAAATAAAAATTTTACGAATTGGACGTATCTATAACATAGCAACCACTGGACGAAATTCGTGCGCACAAAGATCATCAAGTTATTACAAATTTAAAAACTCACACCTAATGTATCGTGCATGTCGACGAATCACAACAGGTTTATTTCGATGACTCGATCAGGCCATACATTTTTTTAAGAGAGTGAATAAGGATAAACGATAAACAAAAGCAATACGATCAATGCGCGTTAAGGCCCAGCCAAGCGCGCGTCAATCCGCTTCGTTAATGGCAACGGCTCCCTATAACGAAGTTATGTGCTGTTGCTGCTGCAGTCGAGGCGCATTCGCGCGCGTAATGTACGCGCCGTACACACGCACATACACACACAAACACCACGGGGCACTAATATTCGGTCAGAATTTAACTCCGATTATCGTCCGTGCGGGAGTACGCCCGATGCGAATAGAAATGCTTTACGTGCGTACGATGATCCTACATGTGAGAGAGAAAGAGATAGGGTCCGTTTTCTAATGCTCGTTCGACCTAATTTCTCTTTCGGATACAGTACGATTCGCTATATCGCGTACATTTTTCGTTTGTAATTGAAAAATATGTCTGGTTTTTAGGAAGCTCGCAAGCTCGACTCTTCGCGATCCTAAATTTTTTTCCGGATTATCAAGTTACACGACGAAAGATACTCGTTGAATAATTGCAGTCATCTCCCTCGTACGATATGCAGGAGAAAAAGGAGGGAAAAAAACTCAGAAAATGAACGTGCCTTACGAATCTCCGCGTGCCATCCGCCTGCGACAAGGCTTTAAAATACCCCGATCGTCGCCGCTCAACCCTCGCTCTCGTGCTGACAGCGCTCTTGAGTAGCGCAGCGGCAGCAGCATCAGTTCTTATCTAGCGTTATAAAACCCGACTCTTTACTCGGCTGGTGGTTGGGTATGGAGAAGGGGGGCGAGCATCATCTGGCTAATGTCACTGCCTTATCCATTATATACGGTTATTATTATTATAATTCACGATTCCACGCGGACGAGATCGTTAACTTTTGGCTGATCGCCTATCATAAATTTTTCGTCGTTACGTAACGATACCGTAATAATTATTTTTCGCGTCTTACCTTTTCCTCGACTTTGCTAGCCGCGCTGCCGACGAGCTCCTTGGCCGCGCCGGCCGCCTGATCGATTTTTCTCGACATCTGTCCGCGGAAAGTCGCTTGGATCTTAGTCGCTGCTTTCAGCAGATCTAGAATACGAGCGACAGGGGAGGAAAAAAAATTAACGAATATTTTACAATTATAGTAGCAATTAATTTCGTTGCTGCGCGGCTTCGATCTTACCCTTGTCGTCCTCGCGGAACTCGGCCTCGAGCTCTTCTCTCGTCGGTTCCGTGTTGCTTGACGACTCCACGTCTCTCGTGATATGCTGCAAATTATTGCAGTCGTCGTCGCGTTTCTGAACCTGGATGGTCTTGCGCGTCTGATGACCGCGAAAGGCCGCCTGTATCCTTATCGCGGCTTCCTCCGCTTTGCCCTTATCGTCCTCGTCCTCCTCGTCGTCGTCTTCCTCGTCGCGCTCGGCTGCGTTCTGCTCGGCGCGATCCTTGGCCGTGCGATCGTGGCTCCCTTCTTCTGCCTCGGCTGCCTCGGTCGTACTGGCGGCCGAATGCTGAGTGCTGCTGTCGCCACCGACTGTCGCGGTTTCCGCGGACTTTGGAACTTCTGCAACGTTAACGAAGAAGAACGAAAATGTATACACGTTTCTCATGGCCGAGTATGCGTTATGATGCTGTCCTCGAGTTGCAGCTGTTTTTATACATATAGAGTTATATGCATTGCATTATTAGTTATACGTTGGGTATAAAAATAGCTACGAGACGTCACGTTGTTTCCGTTCAATTTTTTTGTCGTTCACTCCAACCGCGTGATCTAATCACAAGCCTCGGATCGACGGCTTCATTTTTACGTTTAATTCCGCAGTTTAACTCGCTGCTCCGAAAGAGCAAAGGTTTCCGATTCTTTTTTTTTTCTCCTTTTTTTTTTGCTGTGTCTTTTTGTACCTCTGTCGGCGCGTTTGTTCGCCTATTGTCAACGCTTGATTGGGCTTGTTACCACTACCTATACGCGTACATACACACACACACACACACACACATACACACGTAGATATTTCGAAACAATAAAAGACACTGTGCACAGTTGCAGGAAAAGAGAAAGAGATATATAGAGAGGGAGAGAGAGAGAGAGAGAGAACGAGCAGCTGCAGTAGTAGCAGCATAGGGTGAGTGAATTTTAAAAGCTCTCGAGCAAAAAGCTTCGTTTTCCTTTTGGCGCTTCTGGTACAGTAGCTAGTCTTGCGCAACAACGAGAAAAAAAAATATCTCCGCGATTTGCCTTTCAATTCTCAACGTACGTTTCCGTTAAATAGAAAAAAGAAGTAGGAGAAAGTAAAAGAAACGCATTCGCAGTGTGTAAACACGCGCGTACGCATAAATACGTAGAAAACGAATGAAACAACCGAAGACGGGGTGCGAGGAAAATTTTTTTTCTACCGCTCTTTAAATGAGAAAGAAAGAAGCAGAAGCGGGAGAAAAGGAGGCTTTAATCAAGACACCAGCTTAATACGACATTTCTCTTATGAGATTTCTTTCCCTCTTTCTCACTGCTGCTGCAGCTGCTGCCCTTGCAAAGAGGGTGTTGAAAAATTTTTTCTCTCTCCCGAGAAGCAAAGCATTTTTTATCATTAACCGTGTAATTAGCTTTCCAGATTTTTTCTTGCGTCCAACGCCTAGAGACACTCTGTCTCGTGTTACTTTATCGCGCGTACAAAGAAAACGAAAACAACTGCAGCTATAAGAATCTTTTTGTTTCAACGCGTTTCGAATCGTGTATGATTGTTCTTCGGGGGGGTTTTTTTTGTTAAAGCTCGAGTTTATTGCGTGTGCGTCTCAGCTTGTGTACACGCGCGAATTGAGTGGCTCACATTAACGTACTTGTAATTAGTTATTCTTTTTCACGAAAGTTTTGGTTATGGGTATCGAGGTGAAATATAACTTGCAACATTTTTTCCAGAGAGTATATACATTGAGAAAAGAACTCGGAATCTAATTTTGGAATACTCAAGTTTTTCGATTATTTGAATTAAATAAACGATTGAAACTCATTTTTGAATTTATTTCATTAAATTTTGACAAATTTTTTTATTTCAATTTTGACTTTGAAAAATACTGCAAACATGAAAATCGAAATCACGAGCTTTGAATGAAACGAGAAAAGAAATAGTTCTAGATATGAATAGAGTATTTGGGAACTCTCGCATGTATAACACGTGTGCGGTAATGACAATAGCACATGGCTACAAATAGTCAACGCCACTATTTCGCTTTCTAATCGTTATACCGCGTACTGACCGAGCAACTCGTACAGAAACGCATTGTGTCGGAAATGAATTAACTCCTCGAAAGCCACGATGTTTGAGAAAATATTGATGAAATTTCAGATTATGTATGCACGCATTGTACGCTATGTACAATTTATACAATGTATTCCATATTCTCTGTGTGCGTTTACCTTGGTATATAATTAGATTTTACATTTAACCGAGAATTCGTTATTCTCTCAGTATGCGCTTCTCTGCGTTGAATTTTTAATTACCTACGACTAATATTACGCCCCGTGAAATAATGTCAATATTTTAATTCTCCGTGCCTGCAGTGCGCGTTAAATGTGGTGCATATATGCGTACGTTCCTCACTCGAGCTGTTCGCGCGTTCGCGAATTTTACTTTTATACGCAGGCGGATCCACGCGCTACTTAGTGGGTGCCGCGCAAAGCGCAGACTGCTTGAGCGTCGTATTAAAGTTTTAACGCGCCGCCAAAGCCGACGCAGCTCCGAGGCCCAAAGGGATGATCGCGATTGATAATTCAACGAGCCGTGCGCCAAGAAGAAAAGCCTCTATATTGCCTCTCTCTCCGTAGCGTCTGAAATATTTTTCATTTTTGCATAACCACGCGATCGTCATCGTTGCGAACGATAACATAACGTTGCGCCCGGCCGGGCCTTGACGCGTAGATGACGTAATCCAAGATACATAATATACATTTCGAGAGCACGTCACATTTGAATTTCATGAGGCGCAGCTAGCAGCAGCAGCAGCAGCTGCTAGCGCGTTAATTGCATCTTCGCGCGCATAAAATATACAATTACCGTTGCGAAAAAGCAAAAACAAAATAATGTTTCCAACATCATGAATCGCGGAGCTGAAAATTCTATTTTTTCATCTTTCGCTTTTCACGATATACTCGTACGCATAAAGCTCGCGCGAGATATTCAATTGCGTATTTTCATTGCCTTTCGCAGCAGCAGCTGCTATATAGCTCGGGACAATTGCGCGCGACGACGACGACGCGAGTCATTTTTTATATTAAATAAGACGACTGTGCGCGCGCGCGTGCGGCTTCTCGTTGCAACTCACACGATATATACGATGATACGTATATAACAGCGGACGCGGTGACACTTGCGACGAGAAATGCGCGCACACCTGCCAGAGAGAAGACGGACTAATACGCGTCCCTCTCTCACTCTCTGTTCTTCGTGCGCGTCTCGGACTGGATGCGAAATCCCCGAGGACCAACACGTACCATTAGCTGGATGCGGTATATAATACAAGAGGACGTACGAGGGGGCAGGAGAAAGAGAAGGAGGTTTAAGACGCGTCCTCTTGATGTGGTCTATGCGTCGTATATATATTGCATATAAACTACGTATATAGCGCACGTATACATACACAGAGAGATATATAACGTATGTATAAGTAAAACGAGAGGAAGACAGAGTCGCAAGAGGAGAGAGGACGTTTGAGCGAGCTACACAAGAGGATTAACGGAAATAATGGAACGTCCGCTATATAGTTGCTATACGTATAATGTGTACAGCGCAGGAGGCTTCGACGCTTATATGCAAAGTCTCTCTCTCTCTCTCACACTCTCTCGTTTGTACGTACATCGTGTATACGTGTGTGGGTGTCTTCCGTGTGCAATCGAGCGCTCGCGCGCGACCGTACAGCACCCGAAGCTTTTCCCAGCCACCTGGGAAATATTACTCGTATATATGTGTACGTATATCCCACGCGTGTGCCACCCGCACACACAAGCACACGTACACACAGGTAGACGTAGATATAAGCGGACTTTGTGCATTTGCCTAGATGGCTGAATCGAGCGCTCATTTCGAATGGGTTTCAAATTTTATACGTAGCATGGCGTACAAGCTTAGAGCTGCGCGAGAGTAAGGTTGGGGGCTCTGGGGTAAAAGGAGAGAGAGAGAGAGATCGAGTTTTCCAAGAGTGGGAGCCACTGGTTTGCGAAAAGAGTGAAAGAGAGAGAGACGGGTGAAAAAAGCCGAGTCGCACTGAAAAGTTGACTCTCGTCGAATCGGACATATGCTTTATCGCGACGAAAGTTTGAATTTAAATGGAAATGGCGAGTAGTTCGGAGGGAGAAGTTGCATAAAGAGAGAGAGAGAGAGAGTGAGGGTGAGGGCGTGGGTGAGCTGACGTCGAAGAGGAGAGTGAATTACCGTGTAATATTCTGATTGACGCGAATAATAGTTTAGTTGATGATCAACGATCGAAAAGTGTATGAATTTATATTTTACGAAAGTTAGGGAGAATGAGATTTGGAAAGATGATGGCTGAGAGCTTTTAATTTGTTTTACTCTTGTTTTTCGAATACAAAATAGTTAACAAACGATTCAATTTGGATCTTTTAATTTTGTGAATTTTACCGTGTGTTTACTCCGACAGAACGGATAGTTTTCTACGAAATTCCCTCGACAGTTTGTTCAAAAATTTTCACGTCATAATGAATGCAGACTGATGAAGCTGCCTTAAACGTTGCCAGGTATACCCAAGCTATGTGTGCTCAAGCAAAGTTGAAAATCAAACAGTATGCGAGTGACCCGTGGGCCGCTCATGTAATTCAATTTGGACGACTAAAAATTGCGCATCTCTCGCGTGCCGTGTATATGATCCAACGCGAAGCTCAAACTCAAGCTTTGTTCGGGCGAATAATTTTCACTCCCCCATCCGCAAATTATATTATAATGATCGAGTTGACTTTCATTATGAATCGTTCTTGTTGAAGCTGCCGCGACGCGTCTGCTCGCGCGCGCTCAGTAGAGATCGAGCCCCGACGAGAGAATATATATTATTATTAGATTCTTTCGCTCGCTCGGTCCTCTCGATATTTATACCACCGCCAGGCATCCTAACGGACGAGAAGGCGTATAATGAAAATCTGATTCGCGTCGACGTTAATGAGCTCGTATTGTATCGCATTACGATCACCGTAGGTGGGCCCGAAACCCAATTATCCTCGTCCCTCGCACGATAGTCGGAGATTTGCTCCCGATATAATGTGCAAGAACATAAGCGCTGGGATGCGATGCAGAGGAGAAAAGAGAACCGTTTAAGGGTTATATTTGCCCTAGATAAGTCGGTGTGGCCGTTTAGGCAATCAGAATTATTGTCTAGGATGAATATAAAGGTTTTTAAAAATAAAAATGTAGACGGTTAGCCCACGGATTAAATTGTTGGAAAAATTTTTTCAACAATAAGTCAAATTAATTTTTGTATTGACACGGTTAGATACGACACCGGGGAGATAAAGATTGGTTGTTTTAAAATGTATGAAAATTTAATCGAAGTTAATGCCAGTATTCGCCGCTAGATGGCGAGTACCTCAATTTGTAAATCTGAAAGTGGT